TTAAAGAAAGAAAGAAAGAAAGAAAGAAAGAAAGAAAGAAAGAAAGAAAGAAAGAAAGGAGGGAGAGAAAGAAAGAAAGAAAGAAAGGGAAAGAAAGAAAGAAAGAAAGAAAGAAAGAAAGAAAGAAAGAACGAACGAAAGAAAGAAAAAAGAAAAAGCGAAAAAGAGAGAAACAAACAAACAAAAAGAGCAAATAAAAAGAAGAAAAAAACTCGAAAGAAAAAAGAAAAAGTTACAGAAAGAAAGAAAGAAAGAGAAAATGTAAGAAAGAGAGAAAGAAAGACAGAATAAGGAGAAGAAAGAAAATGCGGTAAAAGAAAGAAAGAAAGAAAAAAACAACCAAAAAGAGTTAATTTAGAATTACAATAAGAAAGAAGGCAAAAAAAGCTAAAGTTGAAGAAACCAAGGAAAAAGAAAGAGAAAAAGAAAAAAAAAGAGAGAGAAAGAAAGAGAGAGAAATAGAGAGAGAGAAAGAGCGAAAGGAAGAGCAAAAGGAAGAAAGAGTGAAAGAAAGTGAAAAAGTGAGAAAGATAGAAAGATAGAAAGAAAGAGAAAAAGAAAGAAAGAGATAGAGAGAAAAGAAAGAAAAAATGCAAACAAAAAGAGTGAATTCAGCATAACAAAAAGAAAGAAGGAAAAAAAGCTAAACTTGAAGGAGCCAAGAAGAAATAATGAGCGAAAGAAAGAGAGAAAGAAAAAGAGAAAGAAAGAGAGAGAGAAAGAAAGAAAGAGAAGAAGAAATAATGAGCGAAAGCAAGAAAGAAAGTAAGAGAGAAAGACAGAATAAGCGGAAGAAAGAAAAATGCAGTAAAAGAAATAAATAAACAAGCAAACAAAACGAATGAACTTAGAATTACAAAAGAAAGAAGGGAAAAAAAGCTAAAGAAACCAAGAAAAAAAGAAAGAGAAAAAGAAAGTGCAAAAGGGAGAAAAAAGAAAGAAAGGAGAAAAGAAATAAAAAGAAAGAGTAAAAGAAACCAAAAAAAAAAACAAACGAACGCAAATTAAGAGTTAAAGAAACAAAGAAAAAGTAAGAACGAAAGAAAATGTAAACTTGAGAAAGAAAGAACAAAAATGTAAGAAAGAAAGAAAGAAAGAAAGAAAGAAAGAAAGAAAGAAAGAAAGAAAGAGCAAAAGAAAGAAAGAACGAAAGGAAGAAAGAGAGAAACAAACAAACAAACCAAAAATGACTAGGAAATAAATATATGAAAAGAATTGCACGAAGGAAAACAAAGTGTGGGAATGAAAGGAATGAAAGAAAAGGGAAATTTCCAAAAGATAAAAGTCAACAAAATGAAAGAAAATTTTAAAAGTCAAAAGAAATACTATGATACTAAAAGAAATAATCACACTGAAAATAGGAGAGAAAAAAAATGATCTAACAAGTAAAAGAATTATTGGAAAAGGTAGACAATTGACAGGAAAAATGAAAGAAAAGAAAAAGAAAAACCATATAAAATTAAAAGAAAGCAAGAAAATATTAGCAGATCAGGATTGAATCAAATTCAATCCCTTTGTATAAGTGTGGTATGGCTAGATAAAGAATTGTCGTTAATCGCTTTTGGTCATTGCCTTTCTGGTGGTGCCAAGCAGATTTTGTTGTTTCCAATGTATCATGATAATCCCATCAGTCCGCTAAAGCCAGCGATTGGAAAATGATTTGTATTAAGAACACCGTGCAGTTACATATCACCTGTTCTTTAAACACGCAAAGAGAGAATCACGCTCAGATGCACTTGGAATAGATACTCATAACGGTAAACACTTGATGAAAAATATACTCTGATTTCATCAAAAATTTCTCAGTACAAAGGCTTACGGCCGTATCATGTTGAAACACTGGTTCTCGTTCGATCACCGAAGTTAAGCTTAATGCAGTAATCTTGAAAGTTCGTTGGAATAATTTATAACAACTGGAAATTAGAAATCGGAGAGGCAAGATCTAATTCCAGTCGGGTTCGTTATATTTATTTTTGGGCAAATACCCTTGGGAAAGGTATGAATCAACATCTTCTCCCGCCAGCTATAGGTTAATGAGTTGGACCTGTGCCAGTAAATCATGATTATGTCAATAAAAATTCTTACAATCTAAAAATATTTTCCGGCTTTCCATAACCTAAAAAGGGTTGATAACCCGTAAAAAGAAATCAATAAAAAAAGTCAATAATGGATAGAAGTTATGATAAAAGAAATGAAATACTGCATACTCAGTTTGATAGGTAATAGATCAAAGTATATACAACGGTCGTGTATTTAGAATATTCGTTTTCAGAACCCGAGACCCGGGTTCGATATTTCATCAAGGTCGATTAATCAAGAAGGTAACATTTTCATTTCTGTTATCATTAATAATAATATTTGCACTATTTACATCGTTTGGACTGTTGTCCTCATCTTTATTGAGATTTATTATAAATTAATACAATTATGGCACAAGGCGGAAAAGGGGGAATGGATCGAGGCTGGTCTTCACTAACTATCATCACTATACCTAGCTAATCGGATTCACGACCCATTCACTCGTTACAATTTCCTCATTCACCATAAAAACTCATCCGTCGTCAATCAACAATCAGTCCTCCAACACCATAATATCACATCCTCTGGGGGGGGGGGGCAAAAAACATCCCAATGAGATGTTAAATATTATTTACAATATATATATATATATACAATATATATATATATATATATAAATCATATGAATGATCATGAAAAGGAATGGGTGTAACCCCAAAACAAACTAAATATCAAAACAAAGCATAAATAAGCATAACTGATGTTAGTAGGACCCGCCCAACCCTTCGAAAAAGAGAAGCCGCTGTGTTCTGCCCTTATACAAAATCAAGGGGCTCTATCACAGTTAATAATTACTAAACTGAAAGTAGTCAGATATTATAACCGACTGAAGCAGGCAGGGTCGGTTTGTATTACCCTCGAACCCCCCGACAGGAGGGTAGAGAAAACTGATTGAGGGACCCGGGCAATCTTATCGACATTTAAATCAAGTTAAATCAAATGTTGATGTTAAGAATTGCCGCAAAATATTGTTGATTTACTTAACATGGAATGATCTATTATGATATATCTCTAATTTGTATTTTTAGATACATTGTATTTATTTTCAGTTTTTCTAGTTGAATTGTTCACCTTTATTGAATATGAGATGTAGTAGAATCATGAATGATTATGAAAATAGTCAGACATTATAACCGACTTAAGCAGGCAGGCAAACTGATTGAGGGACCCGGGCAATCTTAACGACATTTAAAAGCTTTTGCGGATATTAACGTCATTCTGGTGGTATTTTCCCCCTCCAAATGGGTGAATTTATTTTGCTCATGTTAACTCTCGAGAAACACTATTGTATAAAATTCACTTTTTTTTTTTATCAATAATGTAACATTGAATGCGTTGAAATTATTCGACATTTTAACAAGTTAAATCAAATGTTGATGTTAAGAATTGCCGCAAAATATTGTTGATTTACTTAACATGGAATGATCTATTATGATATATCTCTAATTTGTATTTAGATACATTGTATTTATTTTCAGTTTTTCTAGTTGAATTGTTCACCTTTATTGAATATGAGATGTAGTAGAATCATGAATGATTATGAAAGAGATGTGGGGGTGTAACCCCAAAACAAACTAAATATCAAAACAAAGTAAAAATAAACATAACTGATGTTAGTAGGACCTCTCTCTCTCTCTCTAAGGGAGAGGGAAAAGAGAAAATATAGACGGGTATGGGGAATTAATAAAGCTGGCCCAGTCGAGATTAAAGGGGGCCAAAAACAAACTGGGGAGGTTGGGATTCTCAAGTTGGATCATAACCAAAGATGTAGCAGAGACCAGGCCAGAAACTACACTTACTCACATTAACTAGGTACACAATAGTTTGTCTAGCCTAACCAGTGGAGGGCTTCACAGGAAACTACCCCGATGTGATAAAGGTTGACCTAAAAGAGAAAATCAAGTCTAGCCGTGTTCAAGTGAACCAAGCTCGCCTCCGTCACCCACCTTTCGCTAAAAGCTGTCGAATTCAAGCGTTTTCTATCAGTTCTAATCTTCATCTTGAGCTGATGCTGACAGAATCGAATCAGATCCTGATGAGAATGTCCTCATCTTTATTACTACATTCACGACATTTCGGCCGTTGTATGTTCCGACCGTCTTCAGGTGATATACGATCGCATTTGGAATCGAGCCCTTTATTTAGTCCATAGAATGTTCGAATTCCACGCGTCTTACGCGTGTAGAGGATATCTCAGTATCAGTTAATTTACTTTGGTAAGCCAGCTGTCCGAGTTTTGTGACCAGCTATTGAACAACTGTGAAAACGTCGTGAATATGCCAACGAAGATAAGGATATCAGTCAGAACGATGTAAAGAGTTTAAATAGTTAGAATGCCTCATCTCAGAAATATAGACAGTTAATAAAAAATACTTTGAAATAATACAAGAATATAGTTAATAACTAAGTTGATCTGAAATTGTGAAAAGCATTACGAACCCGCCATGAAAATTAAACCTCAAAAAACCTGACAAACACCTTGATGAAATTCGAACCCCGGTCTCATGGCATGAAAGCGAATATCCCTACCATCCGACCGTTTAATGTACTCTGATCGAATGCATACCAAATTGAGTATGTAGCATTTCATTTCTTTTATCATAACCCATTACTGATTTTTTTTTATTAATTTGTTTTTACGGCTTATCAACCCTTTTTAAAAAAGGCTCCAAAAAGCACTTTCGAGATATTGAAGTAGTGGATATAAGGGTTTATTATACATGTGTTATTGATAGTGTATTCAATCAGCGACAAGTTAGTCAGTTATGTGGCATGCGTGATACACGCTTAGGCGATCATGTATCTTTCGATACCTGACTGACGAGGCAGATTTTTGTTCCGCAGTAGGTTGTCATTTCTTTCTGCGATAGACCAGTTGCCATCCAAGCGTATAAAAACCGGTCTGTTCTACTATTTACCCATAGCTGGAGGGGGGGAGAAGAAGAACATTCATACCTTCACCAAGGGTATTAGCACGTAAGTGAATGTAATGGATTCGACTGGAATTTGAACTCGGCTCTCCGATTCCTCAATCCCAGCCGCTATTAGAATGTAATAATTAGAAGTGACATAGAAACGTGGTTAGAACATTCGCAATATGAGACCCTCTGACTCTTATAAAGTGTAGTAGGTCAGTCACTTATGTGCCATGCGTGATAAACGCTTAGGCGATCATGTATCTTTCGATACATGACTGACGAGGCAGATTTTTTCCCGCAGTAGGTTGCCATTTCTTTCTGCGGTAGACCAGCTGCCCTCCAAAACTATAGAACCCGGTCTGTCCTGTTATTTACCCATATCTTGTAGGCGGGGGGGGAGAAGAAGAAGATTCATACCTTTTCCAAATGTGAATGTAATGGATTCGACTGGAATTCGAACTCGGCTCTCCGGTTCGAGCCGCTTTCCATTACTCCACCGTGCCACCAAGCACAAAATATAACAATACTCAACAGATGTCACATATCGACCTATCAATAGATACCTGATGAGGATCAAAACGTACTTGGTCGAAACGTTTATCTATATTAATATCTATATCAACCAAGATGAACAATAATACAATATAGTTAATCATAATATGTATCAGTTGCAAAAATTATTGATCCAGCCCCTTGGACATTGAAGATATTATTCAAGTATAAAATATGGAAAAGATGTGGTTTTAACGAAAAGGTCATAATTGATTCGCATTTATTGAAGTAAAAGGTGTATCGGCCTATATGGACTGGTATTAGTCCGGGAAAGTATTGATTATTATTTAGTGGAGATTTTCCAAAGTTGGTTGTTGATATGAAGGCAAAATTAAAAAGGCCTCGGGTGGTCTTCTTCATCTCACGGCAATGAAGAAAATCAAAAGAACGACATTAAAAATAAAATATGGCAGTCTGACATTTAGAAATGTGTTTACGCGAAAAACAAATCTCTTGCCTAACACGTAATGTAATCGTGTGCATCTTTTCAATCTGATTATTATTTATTTATAAGATTTTCAGATCTTAGTCCCATCTATCTCCGATCTTCTTCAGATGACCGTGGCACATAACGTTATTCTTGTTCCGACAATGTCTTCTCTAAGCTATGGTCCGCGATGTGCATTAAAAGCGAAGAATGCTGAACTGTTATGTCACATCGGAGATTCCATACAACATTGAAGAAGAAACTTGAAGCAATGGAAATTTGGTTCCATATACTGAACATATGAGTAACGAGGAAGATTTAAGGGAACTGGAAACAAAAAGGAAAGAAAGGGGCATTGAAATAGCTAAATACGGGGTGACCATCATAATCCCGAATCTTAAAATACCAATATCAAAACCATGAAATTTAAAATGGCCAAATTTGAAATCCCGAACTTATAAAATCTCGAAAGATCAAAATCCTGAAATTTAAAACCCTGGAAGGTCAAAATCCCGAAATTTAAAATAAGGAAAGATTAAAATCACAAAATTTAAAATGTCCAACATAAAAATATATTATCTTTGATGGTGAATAACTTCGTTAAAATGTCCGAATAATGACACTGAGGATGGCTCATGTGAGCCAAAAGCTTAGATTTACGACCAACTTAATAAAGAATATCCAAATATTAGACTATTTTTGTCTTTATTTTCACCCGAAATTAAAGCAAACATACGAACATTAGAAGGGATCATGATCAAACATAATAGACATTCA